CGCAATTAGTGAAGAATAAAGACAGCACGGACGGCTGTCCCCCACGGGCCATCGCTTCCGTGGGTGGTCCTTTCACGACGGGGGCTGGTTTCACCACAGTGACAGGCCGAGGCCTTAATCCTTTTGTGCCACCTCGTGGGGCTGAGGTGCACCTATACCATCACACTGCGTTTAGACTACCCACGCTTGTTCGTGGGCTTCATAGACCGTGAGGATTCGGCTGAAATGCTCCACTCCCACGGTTCCCTTTGGCTTTGTCCTCACTGGACAATGGTCCGTCTTTGTCCGCTTGGGCGCCCACTTTGGATGACTGGGACTGCAGGCCAAAGGCCCACCCCATGTGCTCCACCTGTCGTACCGCACAGCACTCCGCCTGCCTCTTGCGTGATCACCCCACTCGGTGGCGCCCTGCTCACGTGGCACTGCCCCCCCCCCCAATGGGCTGGCACCCATTCCCCACACATGGCACTCTTTCCACACTTCCTACCTACAGTGGCCCCGGTCAAGTGGCATCGCCCCCCACCTGACGGGCACCTTTTCCCCCCTCATGTTCACAACTCTTGCAACGCACAATGTTGGGTTCTCTGCGGTTACCGCCGCCACCAGGCCACTGGCTTTGCCCCTCCCCCTTCCTCCATTAATTTACTTGACTTGCGGCTATCGGCTGCGCCTCCCCCCCCTCCTCCACGCACGCTGATGTGGTGTACCACGCCACTCGGCTTCCCCCCGTCGTGGCAACGTTCACGCGCATGCTCCGTGGTGTTCACACCTATCCCTGCGGCGGGGTGCGATCACCCGCCGGCTCCGGTGGGTGGGCCTGGGGTGGCAGGATTCCTGCACAAGTGGTCCATCCTTTGGCAGGTCTGAGCCTTCCCTTGGCAGGCCCGCCCCTCCGGCCCTCGGCTTCGCTTGTGACGTCGCCCCCTTCCTCTGGACGGACTTGTTGCTCGCGTACGCCAACGACGCCAACGACCGTTTTCACGGTGCACGGCGCACGAGGCCCACGACAGCCCAGCGGTTCTTCCACGGGCAGGTCCGCAGACCTCCCGCTGGGTGGTGCAGCCGCGGCACCACGCAGCGTTCCCCCCCATCCACACTGGCAAGGAAGTTGCAGGCTGGGACTATGACGACTAGGCTGCCGACGCCTGTCAAGGTTCGACGCGCCTGTCCTCGAGCAATGCAGGTGCTCTGTGAGTGAGGCTTCCTTCCTTCCCCCTCCCCTCGTCGCCTCCTGCGCCTCTGTCTCCCCTTCTGCTCCTCCTCGCCGCGTTTGGCGGCGCCTTTCCTCGGGCTCTGCGCTGCCCGCATGGCGTTCTCGCCTGTCTCGCTGGCTTGGTCTGCGGGGGCTGGCGCCACAGTGCGACCCTCCGCCGGCTTTTCCAGTCTGCTGCCGTCTTCCGTTCCCGGGTCGGCTCTTAACGAGGTTTTTTTGGTCCCTCGCACGTGCATTGCGGCGTTGGCCTATGCGCCTTCGTTGCCAATCGTCTCGCATTGCGCCTCAGTCGAGATGGACCCGCTCCCTGGAGCCGCCCTTGGAGCCGCAGATCAAAAAGCAACCCCCACCAGCCCACCCAGAAACGATGCCCAGAGGAATTGCCTCGATCAGGGAAGTGGGCAGCACACAGAGGAAAGGTCCCCCAGTGGAGGCCTTTTGGAGCGTCTTTGGGGCCTCTTAGCGGCCCCGGACGCCTCTTAGAGCGTCTTGGGCGCTTCGGA